CAGAATCTAGCAAACTACTTCTGTCTTCGGCATTGACTCGCTACACCTTAAATAACACAAATTTTTCTGCATATTTTTGCAGTAATTTCACATTTTTCATAGTTATTAATGAAGCATTACATTACATATTTCTTTAGATATTAAAATCATTTTCAAATTTATATAAGTTTTCACATGAACGCCGAATTAAACAACTGCTTTCACAAGAAATGTGGCCTGAAATATCATCTTTCAATATTTTCGTTCGACATAACATAATCAGATTGATGTTGCCAGATACATGGGTACCAACACCAACTAGTGACAAGAAACTCTGGATACTTTTTATATTACCCAATATTTGCGATACCACCTAATATTAGAAAATAGCTAATCCATTGTTTTGTTAGGTATATGCTAGGGTTACTAAATACAGTCAAACTTCCCTAACTCGAAGTACCATTTTGCAAAGAAAAAGTTCGAATTGTTGATTCTTTGAGTTAAAGAATTTTTTGTAATTGTATGTAACTTACTCTCTAAACCCTGCTACACTCTATTTAGTTTGAGTTATAGAAAATCAAAGTGACAGAAGTTCGAATTATGGAAGTTTGACTGTTTAATACTTATTGAGGATGGCATTTGTATTAAGGCTAAGTTTATGTCTTCTTGATTCTTCTTTTTCAGTTAGTGCTATTACGCACTTTTACTCCATAATGACTGGGGGGTTTATCTCTACTCCACACTAGGCAATAAATAACAACAATTAAAATGTAATTTTAAATTGGTACTTACATTTACATATAAACTAAAATGCAACAACAAAATAAATTTCAATGGCATAGAATTTTTGCCTATAATCATTGGTTGTTTTTGTATTACTTTTTTTTTGCAAAACCCTGTATAAATATATAATTTATTAATTAATTAATAAAGAGGTTTTCGAACAGAAGTGAAACAACAACAAAAATTTATTTTTTTAAATTATTTTAATTAATTGAATTTTTGGCTGACCATACAGCTGTTTCGAGTATTGCCAAATACCCTTCATCAGTGGTCTTGGAAAATAATTCTTGTATTTAATTATTTGTAAATAATTATTTTTTGAGACTGCAAGTACCAGGAATCGAACTCGGGTCCTGCCAAATGTGAAGCTCAGAATCAGCGCACCTTAACCAACTGATCCAAAGCCGTACTTGACTTTTTTGTTCGCATATTTTTGCTGGAGTTTTGTTATTAACAAAACTCCAGCATGAATTAATTATCTTCCTTCCATTCGTACAATATTAATATAATATAAACAATTGTTATCAGTAATTAAACAATAACAACGTAAACGGTATTTGTCGACGACCGTTTTACGATATTTATAACAAAACGATCTTACCTAAAAAAAGCTCCCTCATAGGGTCATCCGTGATGCGAAATAAAACTTTTCATTGAAAGTTGTTATGAACTCTCAAGCTTGCAAGTTAGTTGGTGCGAAACTTTTTGCAAGTGCGGTCGGTCATACGCGTAATTAAATTCAATATTTTTTACAGTTATTTTTTTTCCACATTCTATCATAATTAATCCGTTATAAAAAAATAAATGCAATGTGTTTAATGCAATGTAAATATTTAAATATAGTGTAAATAATTTCTGTTTTAGTTATAGTGCAAATAGTGGTATTTATTTGTTTAAAAATAAAAGAATTTGTGTTTGTTAATCGTCCGTCGTTCGACTCGTTAAGTTAATGGAAATTAATAATAAAAAAAGTGAGGTAAGATATTCAATTTATATTTAAATTAAATTGTACAGTTATATACATCGAAATTTAATTGAAATATTTCAAACCAGGTAAGCAATCAAAAAAATATTGAACGAAAATATTTTTATGTTATTTTCTTTAAATATAACAGGACTTAAAGCAGTTAAATCATATGAAATTAAGCAGCCCATACATTTGTTTTCATAAGTTATACAGCTTAACGGAGTTCTTGCTTTATATTATGTTATAAACAATATATTATATACAATATTCAAAGAAATTTTATTTATTTACGCAGTTGATAATATTGATAATTTAATCTCATGCAATAACTTTTTTTAACTATACTCAAGTCACTGTTTATTGTTATTAACATTCTTGAAGTTATTCAAGTACTACAATACTTTCAAAACTGTTCTTATGCAACAGTTTGAAATGACTTATACAGTTTAGGAAACTTGTTTGTTGCTATAAAGGTTTGAGTACAGAATAATATTTAAAAAAAATAAGTAAATGGGATCCGTAAGTTTTTACATCAAAACTAAAATAAAATAAAATAAAATAAAGAAAAATAAAATAAAGTAAGAAAAATTAAAATAAAATGTTTTGGTTTAATGTTCCCGAGCCGTCATTCAATAAATAATATTTCATATTATTTATTTAATGTTAATTTACTAAATTTCTTCTGTTTATTGAAATATGTGTTCAGATATAATATTTAATATTTTTGGTTTACTTCAAAATATAAACATATTTTTTGCAATTGTTTTATATTTTTCTATATTATCTGCTGTAATCAGTAAAGAACATCATTTTGTCAACCAAAATAACTTGAATAACTACATAACTACACGAACTGTTCCCAACTTGTCGACACTTCTTTAAGTCTCGTCTCGTGGTGATTGTGGTTATATCTTTTGGACAACCTGTCTAGGCTGATTTATAGTCTTTCATTTTATTATTGAATTAGATATTCAATATACTATAATATATATATTATAAGTATATAATATTCATGCACATATATATGTTCAACATACTTAAACACATTAATAGGGCAATTCTGGAAACATTCTTTAAGCTCACCACCCTCAACACTCTTGTGAAAGATCTTTCGTATTTTGGCAGCGGTCATTACATTTGTTATATATACCTCCTCTGATTTGGACTTCCAAAATATTTTATGTGTCAATAAAAGCAATAAACCGAGCATTTTGAAAATAAATGATGTCTTATGAAGTAAATGATCAAAATTTAACAAGTTGTGATCATATTCGATATGTAAAGTTTTGTTTATAAAAATGCTATGGTTTTGTTTATTAAAATAGTTCCTGAATCTGCGTATATTCCCCGCAATCATACAATCTTTGTTAGATGATAATTCTGAACACTGGATAATATAAAAAAGCAGTTCGTCAATAAATAAGCTATATATAATATTCTAGGAACCTATAAAACTTTTATTATTTCTTAACATCTCTATTCACACGAAAAAAAAAATCGTTCAGCATAAATGATACTGCCCACTCTTGTATCGTAGTAAGAGTTGAATTATAACTTTTAGCAGTCATGACCATTATCAATTCCTGTATCTTCCATTGAAGCATAGGGTCTGAATAAAACACTTCCATCTGGTTCGACAAAATGTTCTTCTCCATGTGTTTTCAGGACGTCACCTCTTACGGCTGCCTTAAGTATTATAAACAAGAGCTTGTCGACAAATTTCGTGGCGTGCTTTCGCAATGTAATCTCTGCCATTTTCGTAGTTTTATGAAATTGACCATTAGTTCCATTGCGCATTTTTCATATAAATCGGAGTTACTGATGTCATTTGACCACCAAACCTTGAGAATACGTCGAAAACATTTGTTGACGAAACTTTGAGTTTTTCCAGTAAGAAAATCAGTTACCTGTCAGATTTAACATCCATAGAGCAATACTGAGATGACGTTTGATTTAAATAGCCTCAATTTTGTGAAGAAGCATTAGCACTATCAGCAGTCTTTGTGTTATCTTTCAACTATTCTGTCTAAAGATACAAAATGGTATCTCTACTACAGCTATAGGAAAATAAAGTTAATAAAATGATTAAAACATGGTTAAGAACCTTGAATTCACTTATTACCGAGAAAGTAATAATTTGGTAATATAATTGGTTAGGTCACTTTCTATGTGGGGCTGTAGAAAACATTATTAGTAACTTTTGATTATAAGCCTGAAGGTAGTAGAACATCAGGGACAGAAGGGAACAAAGCTGTGACGTCATGGAAACACCAGAACTGGAATAAAGTTAAGCGATTGACATCCAAAAAAGTTTATTGTTCCATATAACAATTTTATATATTAAAAAAAGTACTCTTGATGAAAATAGGATCAGTTCATTGACTTTAAAACTGCATTGTCATGAAATAAGTTACTCCTAGAATCCATGATATTTTACTTAGCACTGGGAAAGAAGATACTTGTACAGAACAGCACAAAGCCTCCTCTCTCTCTCTCTCTCTCTCTGGCAAAGTCCTTCCAATTTATTGAAATGAAATCACATTTTCTTATATTATAATTTTCTTTATTTTATTATATTTTATTTGATTTAATTTTTTTATTAATTAATTTTATTTTAATAAAAACTTAAAATTTACTAAATTTAAATTACTTAAAGTTTTTGAAATCCGTAGCTACATTTTCGCAATATCATACAATTAAATAAAAATATATTCGTACATATATAAATAAACTGAATTCATAAACTTAATTAATTTCCAATATATGTATGTGTATATTCATATATGTATATAAGCTAATTTAATATGGTACAATCGTAATTTAATTACAATTATTTTTGAATTACAATCTTTAGTCGTTTCATTTTTTGCAATAAAAAATTTTTATATAAAAATATTTTTTTTTTTGTGCCAATAAGGACTTTTAAAAAACTCAAATTCTAAAAGGAAATGGCACGAAGTTGGGATACAATAATCTTATATATCGAAATTGTTTAAGTCTGACGATGTCGTATAAATCCTTTTTTTTTAATTAATTTATAAATGAAACAAAAATTTATTACAAAATAAATATAAATATTTGCCATGAATTTTCATAATGAATCTAAAAAAATGCAAAAAGTTTACATTCGCTGAGCTGCTCTAGAAAAAGTATGAATGTGTGAAAAAAAGAAAGGACTTAAAGGATAGTTCATATATTTTCGAAATGATTTTATAAAGATCACTCACTTAAGGTTTAGTTAGTCGATATATACGGTAAGAACTTAAGCGAACTTAAGCCAAGGCGAAAGCTCAAAGCATTGAGCTTTGACTTAAGTTCTTACGGTACGTACCGACTATCTGAGCCTTTAGAAAAGAACATTTTCGTTTGGTCTTATATTTTAATTTTGAAATAATATTTAATGAAATAATAAAGTTTTTAACTTACAATTTTAGTTCGCCTATCTAACAATATAAAAAGTTATGCTTAAAGTTAAGAAGATTAAGAAGTATTTGATTAGCTGCAGCTTAGTAATAAAGTCTATTATTAAATTTGTTCATTATATTTTGTTTTCCGAGTTTGCTTGTTATCTTATGTTACGTTATCACAGTTCGTACTTATATGACTAAGCTTAGACCTAAGGATGCATAGTTGATACTATATACTACACTCTAAGTTTATCGCCTAACTAAACTAAAATTAATTACAATTTTTCAATTCTTTAGAATACAACATAATTACATACACAATTACAAATTAAAATTACTCATATATAAGTACACTTAACATTAATAACGTTTAAATATATCAAACTGTTTAAATATACAGGATTTGGAGTGTGTGCTTAAATTACAGTTTATAGCATTTGCAGGCACTTAGGCGTATATGTGTATCCTTAATAAATACAATTGCTTAATAAATACAATCGTTCAATGCTTCAGTTGTGTATTTACATTTGCTATTGCAACGAGAAGTTGACTCATGCTTGTTCGTCTTAAGGCACTTTGTGTGAGAGGCGACTATCAGTCCTATCAGATAGCTCCTGTGGCAAGATCGTTGGGCAGTGTAGTAACTGTTGAATGGTTTGCTGTAGACATCACACGCGTGTTTCGCTCCTATGCAATGGTTGCAATTCTCTTTGGGTATCATTGTAGTATTCGTGGTCCGAGCTCGTTGGTTCTGAGCCAGGTACCGTTATGTCTAGCATTGTGGGCGCACCATTACAAACTGTCAGCACTGGTATGCCAATTGTTTGTGTGGGTATGGGCGCATTGCCGGCACTTAGTGCTTGCGCGTTCAGCAGATATTCGGGATTATCTATACTGGCTGGTACACCTATGAGGTCCATGTAACCGCCAGCGTTTGCCGCAGCAGCAGCATTATTATTAACACTCTTACTGTTATTATTCAGATTTGTCGGACTATCAGATTGACAAGTTGGCATGAGATAGTCATCTTCATCTACAGGTAAATCGAGTCTTAAATTGCCTACACCTACTTCACGTGCATTGGAGTCTGTTTCATCATCGCCACTTGAATTTTTGTTCATAGGATCTTTACAGTATCTATTCAGTTTAGGCATTTCATCGGTGCTTTCGTGTTGATGTTGTGCTGGTGCTACTTTTGGTTGTAAATAATTCTCTGTTTCAGTCATAACCTCTGGACTATCCATAGTGGGTGCTAACTTGCGTATTAAGTCTTTTTCATCTTGGCTTGTATAGGAAGGTAGACGTGTAAATTTGTCATTGGGTATCACGAGATATCTATCAGGATCGCGTGCAAACTCCGCAAATACATTAACTAACTGCTTGAAAGTGGGTCTCATTTCAGCATTCAATTGCCAGCAAGAAAGTAAGGTGCAATAAATATCTAACGAACAAATTTTGGGTTGATCCAATTTTAAACCGCCCTCTATGAGTTCTGGTATTTGTCTAGCTGGTATATTTTCATGTGGACGTTGACCAAATGTCAACAACTCCCAAATTGTGACACCAAACGCCCATACATCTGATTTACTGGTGAATATGCGATTGCGTATGCACTCTAAGGCAAGCCATTTTATTGGCATTTTACCACCAGTTGCTTTGTACTCATTGGAATCGTTATTCAACAACTTAGCTAAACCAAAATCAGTTATTTTAACGCAAGATGGCGTTTGCACAAGCACATTACGCGCTGCCAAATCTCTGTGCACTAAACGCATTTCTTCCAAATATGCCATACCCTTTGCTATTTGTGTTGTCCAGTTAAGCAAAGCCTTTGAACCAATTTTATCACGATTTGTACGCACATAATCCAGTAAACAACCCAAAGGCATCAGTTGCGTTATCAGCATCATTTCTGATGTCATGCACACCGCCAACAATTTCAACAAATTGGGATGCTCTACGGATGCCATAATATAAGCTTCACGTAAAAATTCTTCACTTGATTCTGCACCAGTACTCTTCAATAATTCTTTAATGGCCACTGGTATTTTAACATTTTCACCTTCTGGTACCCAAACACCTTTAAATACACGCCCAAATGCGCCCATGCCAAGTACGCCACCCTTTCGTAGTTCTGCATCTTTCACAATACGCAACTTCGATAGATTAGGACCAATATTTGATGGTCTTAACGGTTCAGAATCCTCGCAACCTGATAACACCATTGTCATTTTAACAGCTTCTTTTTTGGCTTTGATTCTTTGCCGGCACACATAGGCAACGAAAGTGATGACACACAGCAAAGATGCCACAGTAACGAATGCTATTGTTATAAAAACATAGCTGTCGACACCAGCAATCAATTTGGCGCCTTTAGATGGTATGGCAGAACAAAATGGGCCTATGTGCTGCGGTACATAGTTGACGTATGGGTAATCTTGCGGACACTTGGCAGTGCAGTTAAATAATGTGGAATTATCATAAGGATCACCGCCTCCAAACACTTTTAAACTGCGACATGCTAAACAATTCTCAGAACCTGGACCTGTGCAACCTTTACACTCGGAGTGACATTCGAAACATTCGCGATTAGTTTCATCAGCAAAATGATCTGGTGGGCATTCATCTTCACATTGTTCACCGCGTTTATAACCCGCACATTTAGAACAAACTTGCTCATGGAAACCGTAACCTGTGCAGATTTCGCAACGTGGATGACATTTACGGCAAATGGTTTTACCGGCAAGTGGTTTAAGTGCACCTTGTTCTTGTGGATTAACATACTCCAAATAATAGCCGACAGGACATTTATCATTTTTCATTAGGCAGTGATCAACTGTCGCAAGACTGTTTATTATGGCGAGATTACATGTTTTGCAGCCACCGGGACCAATTGTATCTCGTGGTCCTGTGCAACCCTCACAGGTCTCATGACACGGTCGACATATGCCATAATCTGAATACTTATTATCAGGACATACAGTAACACAACGCTGTTCATCCTTTACATGAACGCATTCATCACAATGTTCAGCACCGGGTCCTGAGCAAGTACGGCATTCCGGATGACACTCCTTACATGTTTTAGCATCAAATTGATAAGCGCTGGAAGAGAAAAAACATTTTTTTTAATTTCATGTATATAAGTGGTTATATTTGCTGCTATAAATATATAAATTAAAAATCTGTATACATAATCAGTTCAATTGTAATTGAAACGTATCAATAAAGCATTATTAGAATAATTGAAAAGCAAAAAAATTAAATAAAAAAATTGGAATACTAGTAATGGCACTTTCAGAATAACATATTCGATAGATTATGTGATCCTAATACTATTTGGGAATATGAAATCATATGGACCACTCTTACAAAGAGCTGAATACTATTACTATTGCTTGTATTGTGCGATTTGCTTATGTTTGATTTCATAACAGATTATATTCAGTGATAATTTAAGAGAATTACATTCAGTGATAATTATAAAGTTTGCAATGAAACTAATAGTCAGATATTACACAATGGTAATCGATTTGATATAGACAAAGAATATTACCCTGTTATTAGTCATAGAGAATAAAGTCTTATAATTCCACATTACTAAGACTACTACTTCATTATTTATTATAAAGAATTTAGGCTGACAAATTTGAATTATTAAGCCTTCATTCTAAAAAGATTAATAAAAGTTGTAGAAAATCATTTTTTGTTTAGAAGAATATTAAAATGCCAGTCTAATTTATATATAGACAAAACTTTAATAACTAAAAAGTGAATGGGTAAAAAAGACGTTCAGCATTATAACATATTATAGAAAATTAGAAATTGAAGATCCGATGCGATCTGCTGTAATCTTGTGCATTTAATTTTGAACCCAATCCCTTGGTTTCTACGTCTGGACCTGTGTTCATTTCAATTTAAATTCCACCT